GGGATCTATATCTATGCAATAGATAAACGGATCTTGTCTACATCATGTCATCGTTCTTATTGCATTACTCCATTTTTCCGTGAACTTAATACACTAGATGCATGCTGGATAGCGGTCGGTGTGTGGAGTAATAGTAGTAGATGCAGGCAGGAATCGGTCTACTAATCTTGGACGTGATGCCTATCTAATGATCATTGCCTGGATATCGTCATAATTATTTGAGGTTCTATCAATTGCCCAACAGTAATTTGTTTACCCACGTTTGCTATCTTTCTCGAGAGAAGCCACTAGTGAAACCTCCGGCCCCCGGGTCTTCTTTCTCATATATTTGCTTGCGATCTACTTTTCCTTTGCATTTTTATTCAGATCTATTAAACCAAAAATACAAAAATACTTCACTACACTTTATTTTATTTACGATCTATTATTTCAATCTACTACAAATTTCTGGCATCGTTACCCGAAAGGGATTGACAACCCCTTTAACACGTCGGGTTGTGAGGTGTTGTTATTTGTGTGCAGGTGCTATTTACGTTGTGTTGCTTGGTTCTCCTACTGGTTCGATAACCTTGGTTTCATCACTGAGGGAAATACCTACCTTCGCTGTGCTACACCATCCCTTCCTCTTTGTGGAAATACCGATGTAGTCCTAGCTGACAGGAGTTTTCTGGCACTATAGTCAAGGAGCAATCAATAGCCGCGACTTGAGGGGTGGCCGACTGGCGAGCCGCCGCGTGCTTCACCCACCGCTGGAGCCGCGACCGACCGGATCGCTTGCTGCGGCGTACAATGGGGAGAGTGGATGCCGCGGGAGCCGACCGATACGGGGTCGACGGCTGCCACAGGAGGACGCCGTAGGCACTCGCGCTGCCCCGCGGAAGGGAAGGGCCTCGATGTCGAGGGGGGCTTCTTGGAGCCAGGCAGAGTCGTCGGCAATGAAGACGAGTGCGCTGAGACTGATCTCGTGGCCCAAAGCCAAACCACCGTCGAAAACCATGTTGATGGAGATCGAAAAAACTACAACCTCACCGGAAGTCTCTAAGACGCCTTGTCCCACGGTGGGCGCCAACTGTCGTAGGAGTGAGTCTAACAGTAAGAGTAGGGGGTACGTAGGAGGAGGCAAGGCCTTAGCTACGATGAAGTTGTACGCGCGGGTTTACGAGTTCAGGCCCCTCTCGGAAGAGGTAACAACCATACGTCTCGATGCCTCGGAGGCTTGTCGACTGAATATGCGTCTGAGTTACAGGGGTGGGAACCCTTGTGCCAGAGGGGTGGCTTATATAGAGTGCGCTAGGCCCCTTCAGCCCTCAGTTACACAGGGTTCAATGTGAGTTAAGAAAGGGGTGTTATTGGTAACACCTGCTATAAATGACTATTAATGACCTTTAAGACTACGGAGTGAACGCCTGACCGTTGCCATGCTGGGGCGACTGTAGGTCTTCTGTGCTCCGAGTGATTCTTTTGTACTGTCGAGTGTAATGATCATGTTGAATGAAATTGGGATATCCAAGTGGAACGGCTGGTCGAGTGGATTACACTCAAAGGTGATTTCAGTCGGAATCTTCTGTTGGAGTCTGAACGTCTTTGACTCTAGGGCAGTGTCTTTGGGTAGGGCGTCTAGGTCAGGCCTATGACCCTATCCTGGGTACATGTCATCATCAGCGAGGGGCATCATCACGCTGACGTGTGCAGAACTCGGAGGTGTCGTACGTTCGGTGCTTGATCGGTCGGATCTATAAGAAGTTTGACTACATCAACCGCATTGTCAAATGCTTCCGCTTTCGGTCTACGAGGGTATGTGGACACGCTCTCCCCCTCTCGTTGCTATGCATCTCCTAGATAGATCTTGCGTGAGCGTAGGAATTTTTTTGAAATTGCATGCTACGTTTCCCAACACCGGGATGGACCAAAGAAGTACCAAAGGGGAGGCCCGAGGCGGGCACAACCCACCAGGGCGTGCCCAGGAGCCCAGGCGCGCCCTTGGGGTTTGTGCCCCCCTCGGTGGCCTCCCACACCGCCTCTTCACCCTATAAATATCCAAATATTCCAGAAACCCTAGGGGAGTCGACAAAACGCAATTCCAGTCGCCGCAAGTTCCAGAACCACGAGATACAATCTAAACACCATCACGGAAAGGTTCATCATCCTCGTTGTTGCCTCTCCATGATGCGTGAGTAGTTCATCATAGACCTACGGGTCCGTAATCAGTAACTAGATGGCTTCCTCTCTCTCTCTCTCTCTCTCTCTCTCTCTCTCTCTCTCTTGATTCTCAATACAATGGTCTCTTAGAGATCTATTTGATGTAACTTTTTTGCGGTGTGTTTGTTGGGATCCGATGAACTTTGAGTTTATGATTAGATCTATATCCATGAATATTATTTGAGTCTTCTTTGATCTCTTATATGCATTATTATTTATAGCCTCATATTTCTTCTTTGAATTTTTGGTTTAGTTAGGCCGACTAGATCGATTTTTCTTGGCATGGGAGGAGGTGCTTTGTGATGGGTTCGATCGTGCGGTGTTCTTTCCCAGTGATAGAAGGGGCAGCGAGACACACATGTGTCGTTGCTATTAAGGATAACAAAATGGGGGCTATTCCTACACGAATAGTCTCGTCTACATCATGTCATCGTTCTTATTGCATTACTCCGTTTCTCCATGAACTTAATACACTAGATGCATGCTGGATAGCGGTCGATGTGTGATGTAATAGTAGTAGATGCAGGCAGGAGTCGGTCTACTAATCTTGGACGTGATGCCTATATATTGATCATTGCCTGGACATCGTCATAACTATTCGATTTTCTATCAATTTCCCAACAGTAATTTGTTTACCCACTATGTGCTATTTCTTGAGAGAAGCCACTAGTGAAATCTACGGCCCCCCGGGTCTATTATTTGTCATATTTGCTTTCTGATCTATTATTTGCCTTTGAGATATGTTTTTATTTGTTTTTATTTTCAGATCTATTATTCCAAAAACCAAAAAATATACTTTGCTGCACTTTTTATTTGCATCTTTATTTTGCGTTTATTCGAGATCTATTTATCCAATCTATCACAAATTTTAACCCGTCAACTTGACAATTTCTGGCGCCGTTACCTGAAAAAGGGATTGACAACCTCTTATAAGCGTCGGGTTGCAAGTATTTGTTATTTGTGTGTAGGTACCGTTGTTTCATAACTAAGGGAAAAACCTACCGTAGTTGTGCTGCATCACCGCTTCCTCTTTAGGGAAATACCGACGTAGTTCAAGCGACATCAATGCCCGACCAAAGAAAGCCCGCTTAATTTTGTTGGGAGTTATGCATAGTTCTAGGAGGAGGGTTGGGAGCAATGATGTGGTATATGACTTGCGAGGTGCGCACCGACTTGATGAGTGCACATCGGCACGTGGCAGTAATGTTTTGACTATCCCATGGCAGCAACCTTGCCGCCGCCTTATCCTCGAGAAACTAAAAGCCCCCTCTCCAAAGTTGTCAAACCGAGAGCGGGAGGCCCAAATACTTAATAGAGAAGGAGTCAAACCGAGAGTGGGAGGCCCAAATACTTAATAGAGAAGGAGGCCCGAGTGGCCGGGAAGCTAGTTAGGATTGCATCTAAATCTAGAAGCCCGCACCAGATTGAGACAACCGAACTCTTCTGGAAATTAGTACAGAGGTCAAATGTAACAATCGATGAAACTGACCCTTTTCTGAAACTTCATCATAAAATGACCCTAATCTAAAAATATTTAACAAACTGGCCCTTTTTGCATGACGCCCGGGGCTGGGGCCCCATGCTAGATAGCATGACGCCCTACACGTCGCTACCATGGCGCCCTTGCCCGAGGCGTCATGCTATCTAGCATGGCGTCCTAGCCCCGGGCATCATGCAAAAGGGCCAGTTTCGGAAATACTTTTAGATTGGGGCCATTTTATGTTGAAGTTTCAAAAAAGGAGACACCCATGAGGCAGCCGCAAGAGCAGTCAGGTGTATGGCTTGCAACACAGTGGGTCAATTGCCGAGAAGTGCATAGATGAACCCGGGTACATATGAACCCACTTTGGAAAACACTTTTCTAAATGATAAAAAACTCTAAAAAAATTGCGCTGGTATGTCTCCATGTTTTATGTGCGTGCATAAAGTTTCACGGAAAAATAACTTTTCTTGTAGCCAATGCAAAAAAGACAAAAAATTATGTCTTAAAACACTATTTAGAAGCACTTAAATTTGTTTTTTTTTTGCGGAGACAAAACAAAAAGACATTCTTTTCACAAAACTTTGTGACGCATACACACATTTGCAAACATGTATGCGTGATATTTTCTTTTGATTTTTTGACATTTTAAAACATGCTTAAAATGCATTTTTTTAAAAAAAAGTGGGTGCATATGACCATGGGTTAAAGGGGTGCCCTCTCGTCAATTGCCCGGATGAGATAGGTAATACTCCCTCTGTTCCTAAATATTTGTTTTTATAAAGATTTCAACAACTGACTACATACGGAGCAAAATAAGTGAATCTACACTCTAAAATATGTCTATATACATCCGTATGTGGTAATCATTTGAGATCTCTAAAAAGACAAATATCTAGGAACGGAGTGAGTAGTTACCACCTATGCAATTGCCTGAACAGCAGCAATTCTTGTCATGACCCAATAATGGAAGGGAAGGACGACATATGCCGGTCATCTGCAGATATCACATGGCTAGAATCGAGCAAGGAACCATAAAAACTCTTGCTCTGAGAATGGGGAGTTACAGCTGTGAAGTAGTATAAGACTAGAGTGGAAATGATCAGTAATCACGCTACTGCCTAGGATATACAGATTCTGATACAAAAAGTTATTGTCCCTAATCGACACGGTTGAGCACATCTTCGATGAAAATTGGAGGAGAACAAAAATCGGGCCCTCGGATCTGTAATATTGTGGTGGTAATCTGTATCAGGAGTACTTTACTCCATTAATCTCCTGTAGCTGTCGCTCCCGGCTTTGAGGTTCAAGCTCAGCTTCACTATGGGCACTCTCCTCTCGCAGAGGACTGAAAACCAGCTGGGAGAGTTTGATTTTCTAGCCAGGAAGATCTTGCTGGAGAATCGTTTGTTTTGTTAGCTTCAGACCGAGAAAATCTTTGTAATCTGTTGACCTTCAGCCGAATTGAGGGCACCTTTCGAGCTATGGTCTTCCAGATCATCTGGACAGCATCGTCAGGCTGAGATGGGTACTGGTATTCAAAGTGCCCTTCTACCTCCCTCAGTTTGTTCCACATGCTTGTCCACTCTTCTGGGCTTACCCCTTTGATCAGATTTATCAGAAAGCCCTTCTTGACAGCATCTGCACCACGCACTATGATGCAGAACTTGGAGTAGTCAAGGATATCTTCAAATGGGAGTTCAATCTCATCGCTGATAATGACGGGCACACAGTGACTGACTATGGAATCGAATAGACGGTTGGAGGATGGCGTATCCCCTGCAATGTTGAGGCAGAATTTGGATGCCCTCATACCCCGTGTCGATTCCTCAATCCCATTACCAGCCACACTTCCAAATGAGAAGTGCACATCTTTCTCATCTTTGAGAAGATAGTAAAGTTCCTGTCGGATGAAACCACCCTGCAAGGTTGTGATTCAAAAGATCACAACCATGAGAATCATCAATATTTCACATAGATCATACATTCTCAGGACCTTGGTTTTCAGACAGTCAATAATTCATATATCTTGCTTAATAAACCATATTATACACTACTGCCACAAATGTGTGAAAGCGACAATCACAATTTTGGATTCTCATCCTTATCAGATTATAGAACCTCTTAAGTATTAAAGCGACTCACTAGAGCTATAACATAAACGGGGCTTATAAGTACTCCCTCCGTTCGGAATTACTTGTGGCAGAAATGGATGTATCTAGATGTATTTTAGTTCTAGATACATCCATATCCAAGACAAGTAATTCCGAACGGAGGGAGTAGGTAACAGTCACATGAAAGAAGTGATAGCATACCAAAGTGAGCTGGATTAATGAGCAAGACGAGCCAACCAAACTCAGCTGGATAGTGAACAAGGCAATGCCAATGGCAATTATTTGCAACTACGATATTTCCCGTAGCCAGAATCATTGAAGTCCAAATCAAGTACCACGGAGGGTGTCCAGACTCCAGACTACAGATGAGGTCGTGCTAGTTTAGGATCGTGCTACTGACTAAAACTTAAATCGGTTAAATAGCAAATCGTGCTACAGACCAGTACATGGCAAACATTCTGAAATCTATGTAGGGAACGACACATGCAAAGCAAGTTTTAAAACCAATAGCTACATTATTAAAAATGGAAGTTGACTAATCACACCACGATCTTAATTCCCTGCTTAAGCTAAAACAAGTAAGCTTTCATCAAAGGGTACTCACATCTTTCCTGTAAATGGCGCCTTGGAAGTAGAGTAAGGTCGGCCGGTCGTGGTAGCCGGTGGAGTCATTGAAGAAGTTGTCGACGACATGGCGGTACGGGGCGATGACGTCCTTGTCGATGTTGGCCACGCTGTGTGGGTACCTCCCGAAGTCGCAGAGCACGAAGACGCAGGGCCAGAGCTTGTAGCGCGCGTCGAGCATCCCGTTGGGGTGGTGCGCGAGCACGACGTGGTCCCTTCCGCCGGACCTCCGCCACTCGGGCCGCGCGGCGAGGAACTCGATCAGCCTCCGCTGCAGCGCCCGGTCCTCGCTGGTCCGCGCGGGCGGCACGACCTTGGAGTGGCGGTTGAAGCTGAGGGAGGCGAAGAAGGGCACGAAGACGACGTCGGCCCTGGCGGGGTCGCGCACCCGGACGGCGTTGCACGGCGTGGGCGCGCCCTGCTCGGAGGCGAGGAGGTCCAGCGTGAGCCAGTACTCGATGCTGTGCTGCAGGTTGAGCCCTCCGGGGTACTCCGGCACGCCGTGCCTGACATCCGGCCAAAGGCCGCCACCGCCGCTCCCGGGCTCCCAGTCGAGCATGCCGAAGTGGAACTCAAGGGGCAGGTCGTACATGTAGACGCGCAGCAGCGCCTTATCCGGATCGCATTTTCTGCCTGGAGAGGCCGGGCGGAGGCCCTGGCGGCGGGCATCGAGCGCGGCCGGGGCGGCGGCGGAGTCGAGGAGGAGGTACCAGGAAGCGAAGAAGAGCGCGGCGGCGAGGGAGAAGAACCAGACGAGCGGGCTCCGGCAGGAGGCGGCGGCGGCCATGGAGGCGCTAGCGGTGGGCATAGCAATGCGGGTGGGGGTGGGCGGCCATGGCGCTCGGATCTGAGGAGGTGGGGATACGTGTGTGGTATGTGGGGATGGGCCAGTGGCGGCCGCGGTCTCTGCCTCGGGTGGGGGTGGCCGGGTCGAGAGGGTCGGATCTGGGGACGTCCAACGAGACGGTTGCGCTTGGACGGGTGCGGTGCGGTGCGGCAGGAACCCAGGAACTGCCTCTTTCCACTCCAGATCCACGCAAGGACGCACGCACTTCCACCCCATTACGGTCGCTACCCTTTTCCCGCTTTCCTCAAAGACCTCGAAATCACTCGGATTCCCCACGACATGTGCAAAGGTCTCACTTTGTAAGGGAAAGTGTTTTTTTTAGAAAATAGGATCCGTATATATCTACCTCACATCTAAGTATAATGTCGCATTTCGTGCGTCCGCCAGAACCATTTGCTACGAACATAAAAACTAGTCATGTTAGCCAGAGCGGCAGCGACCGACATACATGTCAACCTACAAAAAATGCCTCAAGTTTACGCTGACACACTTGCCAGTGGTCGGTACACTTGCGAGCGCTTAAAAAAGGGCCATTCATGGTCCCTAGTTCAGGCCGATACACAAGCCAGCATACAAAATGGTGGTGCTCTCGGCCATAGCTCAATCATCGAGCTCGAGAAATTCTTTTTGCTTATTCAAGAACCATGGCCTTCTCCTCAGGGACACCTCGCTCAGGTCTACCTTCATGATTTCCACCTCCTCCGACATGCAAGTGAGCGCCACCTCTTTTGCTCCGGTCTTTGCTTTGGTCGCTTCAATCTCGAACTTCTTCATTTCGACGGCCTCCTCCATCTTGAACTTCTTCTTTTGAACGGCCTCCTCCATCTCGAGTTTCTTCATTTGTAGCTTGATGTAGACCTTCATTTGTTTCTGTTTCGCTTGGCACTTTCTCTCCTCCCTTGCTTCCTTTTGGGTCACCATGCCTTACAAAATTTCTTGTAAGGTAAATGTCGCCGCATCATGCTTCTCATCCACCTTGGAGTTGGTCTTGCCCCTCGGCCGCTTCTCCCCTTCTTCATGCTCAACCATGACCGTCGGCCCTCCCTTCTTCTTTTGGGCGGCATATTGCTCCTCAAACTTGGGGCAATTGCAAATGATCGTCCAATAATGGGTGATGGTGAATGACTTGTTCCCATGTTGGGCCATGAAGGCTTCCAAAGCTTGGAATGCCTACAAATACAAGTGATGGCAACAAAGTAATAGTGAAGGACACAATGCAACAAACATGAAAAGACATATGGATAGAGAGAAGAAATTGTATGCCATGTCGCTCACGCCTAGGCCACTCATGAGACGGCCTTGGATGCTCTCAAGGGTGGCACGTAACTTGTTGCATTCTTGTTAGATGAACCCACACTGAGGGAGTCCAGGATTATGGGGTCCTCGGGCGTCTGGGCTATGTGATATGGGGCGGACTAGTGGGCCGTGGAGATATAAGATGGAAGACTTTCCCCTGTGTCCGGATGGAACTCTCCTTGGCGTGGAAGGCAAGCTTGGCGTACAGATATGAAGATTCCTTTTCTATAAACCGACCCTGTACAAACTTTAGTCCCCTCCGGTGTCTATATAAACCGGAGGGTTTAGTCCGTGGAGGCAATCACAATCATAATCATATAGGCTAGACATCTAGGGTTTAGCCATTACGATCTCGTGGTAGATCAACTCTTGTAACCCCCATACTCATCAAAGTCAATCAAGCAGGACGTAGGGTATTACCTCCATCAAGAGGGCCCGAACCTGGGTAAACATCGTGTCCCTGTCTCCTGTTACCATCGATCCTTAGACGCACAGTTCGGGACCCCCTACCCGAGATCTGTCGGTTTTGACACCGACATTGGTGCTTTCATTGAGAGTTCCATTGTGCCGTCGTCGAAAGACTCGATGGCTCCATCAATCATCTACAACAACGCCGCCGTGAAGGAGATTTTCTCCCTGGACAGATCTTTGTATTCGGCGGATTCGCACTACGGGCCAACTCGGTTGGCCACCTGGAGCAGATCGACAGCTACGCCCCTGGTCACCAGATCAGTTTTGGAAATCTAAACTATGTCGCTGATATTTGAGGAGGCTTGATCTTCCAAGAGTTCGCTCCGGCCTTAGATCCAGAGCGCGTCATCAGGTCCGAAGACGGGAGTCTAGAGCCCGCCGGACTCTCTGTGTCCTTAGAGCTCAACACCGGAAAACTAGAGAGAATAGCGTCTCCGGAAATCATTGCAAAGTAGGACTCTTCTCCGGACACTAATTCCGAACCCTGGAGGCCCGCGTCATGCAAGCTCGGCCCAGAAACTTCCGACCCCGTCCAAACCCCACTCTTAAACGAGGTTCTAGACTTAATGCAATCCCTCGTCATCACAGAGGAACCGCTTCTGAATCACGCCCAGCCCGGACTAGGGGATGGAAATAGGGAATTTTACTTCCCACCCACCACCCAGTTCATAGCCACTATTGAGGACTTAACCGACATGCTTGATTACGCCTCCGAAGACATCGATGGTATGGACGACGATGCCGGAGAGGAGTAGGCCAAAAAAAACCCGGTCACCAGACGTTGGACGGCCACCTCCTCGTATGACGTATACATGGTGGATACACCTAAAAACGGCGACGACGATGATGAGAAAAACCCAGTCGAGGACGAACCTCCTGAGATACCGCCGAAACATCAATGTCAGCGGCGCCGCTCTAAATCGCATCGCGGTAAGAACAGCAATACCGGCACCAAAGACAATGATACTCCGGAGAATGCCGAAGACCAAGAAGACCCCATCGAACCAACATCCGAACAGGATGATCGGGAGGACGGGCAAGTTGACCCCGACGAACAAACAGGGAACAATGACTCGGAGGACAGCAACTATCTGCCACTCTCCGAGGATGACGTAAGCCTCGTCGACGAAGATTTTATCATGCCAAAGGAACCCCTCGAACAAGAGCGCTTCAAGCGCCGACTAATAGCCACGGCTAGAAGCCTAAGAAAGAAACAGCAGAAGCTTCAAGCTGACCAAGACCTGCTCAACGACAGATGGACTAACATCCTGGCAGACGAAGAATACGGCCTTGAACGCCGAGTAAAGAGTTACCCAAAGCATAAGTTGTTACCCCAATTCGATGATGAGGCATTGGAGCCCATACCACCCGTGCGTAATGCGGCTGACGGACCCGATAGACCACCACGTGTCCAGGACAAAATGACAACTCAAGCCGAACACCAGCCCGCACCACCTCGCCGTAAAAGCAGAGAAACAACAACTCGGGGATACACATACGACCTACGACAGGACCTAGAAAATAGGGCAGGCCAGACCAGGTCAATCTACGGATCACGGGGGCGTGCTCCGGCGTGAGAGGCGGGCTATCAAGCCTGGTGGGATAAACACAACCAACCCCGGGCTGAAAACCGCATACGGACTCCATCCTAACTACGTCGTGACATGGCCCGATACAGAGGCGCCGCACACCCCCTATGCTTCACCATGAGGTAATGGAGCATGAGTTCCATGAAGGGTTTAAACCCATGAACATCGAATCATACGACAACACAACAGATCCCGCAGTACGAATTGAATATTTCTTCTCCACATTCACGTGGCTCGCGGTGATGATCTACACGCCATCAAATACCTTCCCCTAAAACTTGAAGGGCCAGCTAGGCACTGGTTAAACAGCCTCCCAGAAAACTCTATTGGAAGCTGGGACGATTTGGAATATGCCTTTAGAGACAACTTCCAAGGCACTTATGTCCGGCCTCCGGATGCTGATGACCTCAGTCATATAGTCCAACAGCCCGGAGAGTCGGCCAGGAAATTCTGGACCAGGTTCCTAATTAAAAAGAACCAAATTGTCGACTGTCCGGACGCTGAAGCCCTAGCGGCCTTCAAACACAGCATCCACGACGAATGGCTCGCCCGACACCTCGGCCAAGAAAAGCCGAAGTCCATGGCGGCCCTTATAGCACTAATGACCCGCTTCTGCGTGGGCGAGGATAGCTGGCTAGCCCGTAGCGGTAACAATACCAGCGACCCTGGCACTTCCGAAGCCCGAAACAACAATGGAAGGCCCCGACGCAACAAACATAAGCGTCGGAGCAACAATGATGATACAGAGAATATGGTAGTCAGCGCCAGATTCAGTGGCTCCAAATCTAGTGAACGGAAGAAGCCATTTAAACGAAACAAAGACGGTTCATCAAGCCTGGACCGAATACTTGATCGACCCTGCCAGATCCACGGCACTCCTGATAAGCCTGCCAACCACACCAATAGAAGTTGTTGGGTCTTCAAACAGGCCGACAAGTTAAATGCCGAACATAAGGAGAAAGGGTCGCCCAGTGAGGATGACGACGAGGAACCTCGCACACCGAAAACAGGGGGTCAGAAGAAATTTCCCCCCGAAGTCAAAACGGTCAATATGATATACGTCACCCATATCCCCAAGAGGGAGTGCAAGCGCGCGCTAAGGGACATCTATGCGATAGAGCCAGGCGCCCCAAAATTCAGTCCATGGTCGGCCTGTCCGATCACCTTCGATCACAGGGACCATCCTGTTGGAAATATGCCCTAGAGGCAATAATAAATTAGTTATTATTATACTTCCTTGTTCATGATAATCGTTTATTATCCATGCTAGAATTGTATTGATAGGAAACTCAGATACATGTGTGGATACATAGACAACACCATGTCCCTAGTAAGCCTCTAGTAGGAATACTTTGGGTGTGCCAAACGTCACAACGTAACTGGGTGGCTATAAAGGTGCACTACGGGTATCTCCGAAAGTGTCTGTTGGGTTGGCACGAATCGAGACTGGGATTTGTCACTCCGTGTGACGGAGAGGTATCTCTGGGCCCACTCGGTAGGACATCATCATAATGTGCACAATGTGACCAAGGAGTTGATCACGGGATGATGTGTTACGGAACGAGTAAAGAGACTTGCCGATAACGAGATTGAACAAGGTATCGG